ATTGGTCAATATGTCAGTTTTTATGTCAGTTTCATATTTTTTTACTGTAACTTTGTAGTATTTTGGAAATGGCTCTATGCATGTATATGATGTATATTGGTCATTTTCACTAATTACTCTCCCTTATCCTACCCCCCACTATTCTGAACCCATTCCCCCACACATAAAGGACCACTCCTATCTTCATGTCCAGTTTTTCAAAAGATTTTTGTTTATTTTTATTTTTGATGTGTATGAGTATTGTGCCTGACCGTGTCTGTAGCACATATGTGTTTGGTGCCCATGGAAGCCGGAAGAGGGCGCCAGATTCCCTTGGAATTGAGTTGAGGTGCAGTGAGCAGGAGCATGTGGATGCAGCTTGTACTCTCTAGTTTTTGTTTTTGTTTTTTTTTTTTTGTTTTGTTTTTTTTTTTTGTTTTTTTTCCGAGACAGGGTTTCTCCGTGGCTTTGGAGCCAGTCCTGGAACTAGCTCTGTAGACCAGGCTGGTCTCGAACTTACAGAGATCCGCCTGCCTCTGCTTCCTGAGTGCTGGGATTAAAGGCTACATACAGCCTGTACTCTTTAAATGTCTGTCTTTCTTTCTCTCTTTCTCTTTTCTTTCCTTCCTTCCTTTCTTTCCTCTCTCCTTCTCTGCCTTTCTTCCTTCCTTCCTTCCTTCTTTATTTTTTTAATGACATGGTCTCACTTTACAGCCTTGGCTGCCCTGGAACTCACTCTGTAGATGAGCCTGGCCTGGAACTCAAGAGATCTGCCTGCCTCTGTCTCCAGAGTGCTGGAATTAAAAGCAGTTAAAAAATGTAAATTAGCCACGCTGTGGTGGCACATGCCTTTAATTCCAGCACTCTGGAGACAGAGGCAGGCGGATCTCTTAGTTCCAGGCCAGCCTGATCCACAGAGTGAGTTCCAGGACAGTCAGGGCTACTCAGAGAAATTCTGTCTCAAAAAAACCAAAACCAAAAAAGAAATTAAAAAGTAAAAATTAAATTACAAATTTTAATATGGTTTATATTTATTTGGGGGTAATGTCAGAGTTCTCTCCTTTCACCATGTGGAACCAAAGTCAAGTTGTCAGATATGGCGGTAAACGCCTTTACCCACTGAACCAGCTCCAAGGCCCTCTGGGTTTCTACCTGACAGATTGCATCTTTTTTTTTTTTTAATGAGCCCAGTCTGGCTTTGAACTTACTCTGTGGCCAAGGATGACCTTGTATTTCTGATCTCTTGCCTCTACATTCCAAGTGTCAGCATTACAGGTATACCATCATACCTGGTTAGTTTTATACTGGGATAGGGCTCAAACCCAAGACTTCTTCGTGGTTTCTTCAACCGAGCCACATTCCCAGCCTATTTATTTATTTATTTATTGAGACAAAGTTTCATATAGTTCAGACTTCAAACTCATTGTAGCTGAGGATAGCCCTGAATTCTTGATCCTCCTGCCTGCAAATCCCCAGTACAAGTATTACAGAATTGCTCCACCACATCCAGCCCTAAACTATAAACAGCTTTTACAGGAAGGAAAAAAATCCACCAACTCTTTGTGATTTAGAGTGTAAAGTTCAATTTTAATTCTTAGATTTATCAGATTTTATTTTTACATAGGAATCAGAAGCATTTTTGAAGGTTTGTGGTTGGAAGGATCTGGGATCCTGCCGAGTAGGTCAAGGTGACCAACCAGCAAATTAGAGGTTAAGTAAGTAAGGTGCTGGAAAGCTGATCTGTGCTTCTGGTTTTTGGACAAATCCTAGCTGGCAGCCCTGGTAAGCCCTTGCCTAGAAGGTATGTGACTAATGTGCCAGACGGACTGCTTCCCTTTCTGAATTCTCTCAGGGCTTTCTTATCTTAGGAAGTGAGGAATCTGGCTGAATCCCAGGATATCCATCTGGTTAAAATAAACGTCTTGGGTGGTCTAAGATGGAAAAGAACCTGGTGAAGTCAGGTTTGGAGGTGGGAGACAGATTTGTAAGTAGGGTACGATTTGTCTTTGTGAGGTGTAGGGTTTTTAAAAGCATGTCAAACACATGGGTCTCAACTTTTAGACTGTTTCCTTCCCACTGATGTTCTGTGTCCCTGACAGCTGGGTGCAGCAAGGTTGTCCTGCTGGCCTCACATGTACAGGGATGGATCACAGAAACCTGACATACTGTGGGAAAGTGACTGCCTATGCTGCGGAGTGGACAGACAGGGAAGGAAGGTGTACTTGTGTATTTCACAGTTTTGGCTCAGTCTATGATGTGGAGCCCATGGATGGGAGGGGAGAGAGATTAAAATGACAATACCAGGGAGGTGACCTTTAGGTCATTATAGACTGTTGAGGACTTATCTGTCTGTCTGTCTGCCTATCTATCTATCCATCTGTCTGGATTTTCAAGGCAGGTTTTGAGTAGCCTTGGCTGTACTGGAACTGATCTGTAGGCCAGGCTGGCCTTGTTATCAGATACTCTCCTGCCTCTGCCTTCTGAGTGCTGGGATTAAAGGTGTTCGCCACCACCGCGCAGCTCATTTTCTTCTTTTTTAAAATTTTTTATTTTATGTGCATTGATGTTTTGCCTTCATGTATGTCTGTACAGGGGTGACAGTCTCCTGGAACTGGAGCTGCAGGCAGGTGTAAGCTGCCATATGGGTGCTGGGAATTGAATCCCGAGTGTTCTGAAAGAGCAGCCAGTGCTCTTAACTGCTAAGCAATTTCTCTAATTTTTCTTTTCAAGACAGAATTTCTTTGTAGAGCTTTGGAGCCTATCCTGGCACTTGCTCTGTATATCAGGCTGGCCTAGAACTCATAGAGATCCACCTGCCTCTGCCTCCCGAGTTCTGGGACTAAAGGCGTGCGCCACCACTGCCTATAGCTTTGGTTGCTCTAGAACTGGATCTGTAGCCCAGGTTGGCTTTGAACTAAGAGATCTGCCTGCCTTTGCCTTCCAAGTGCTGGGATTAAAGTCCTTCACCACCACTGTCTGGAAGGCCTTTTTTCTTTATCTTGTAACTAAGATTGGAGGCTGTGGTATAGCTCACTTGTAGAGTGTGTACCTTGCACGTGGAAAATCTCTAGTTCGATCCCCAGCCCTATCTCCCAACACACACTAAAAGACCGATGTAGTGTCTTGGGAGGCTGGGGTAGATGGACCCTGAGTTTGAGGCTAGTCTGAGCTACATAGTGAGATTAAAAACAAAACAGAAAAGGTATCCTTCCCAAGTGAGGCTGTTCTAAGACAAGGAGGGCTCATATACTGTGGCATCAGTCACACTTGCATGTCAATTCAGAGGGTTATCAAGAGTGTCTCAGTTTTTTGTTTTGGTTTTTCTAGGTATCACCTTATATATCTCAAGTAACCTCCAGCTTGACTATATAGCTTAAGATGATCTTGAACTTTTAATGTTAGGGGTGTGATGTTTGCGTATGTGTGCCACAGTACATATGAGAGCAAAGAGAGTCAGGTCTTTCTTAATTCAGGTCTTAGGAACTGAACGCGGGTGGTATTACAGCAAGCACTTTTACATACTAGTCAACTCAGGCTGAAATTTTGATTGTCACAACTCTACAAGAGCTCTGGGGAGCTGGAGAAATGGCTCAGTGGTTAAGAAGACAGTTTCAGTTTTACTTCTTAGAAAATTATTTATAGAACCCATTATGAAGTAGAACCATTCTAAGCACTTCTCCTTTTTAAGATGTATTAGTCATATTTCCATCACCATAGTCAAATTCCTTGAGAAATAATTTAAAGGATGAAGGTTTATGTTAGCTCAGACTTGACTAGAGGTTTAAAGTATTTACTATACTCTAGCATGGAAGGGGAAGGGAAACAGGCAAAGGACGGGACCAAGTTATACTCTGCTACGGCAGGCCCATCCAGTGACCTACTCCCCTGTGCCACTAAATTATAAATCCACCCATCAACTAATCAGTTATAGCTTTTAAGGTCTGGGGAAAAAAAAAGTCCCTTCCAAAAGCCCATCAGGTTGCAACAGCTTTTAACTCAAGGACCTTCAGGGGACATTCCAGATCCAAATCACAACATGGGAATATTACTCTTCAGATGCCATAGCATCTTGCTATGTAGCCCAGGCTAGCCTTGGAGTCACTGATATTCTTGCCTCTATTCCTAGAGTACTGGAACTTGTGTTATGCCCAGCAAAAGCAAATAAATCTTGTTTGAGGTTTACCTCTTACTCTTGTGCCTAATCTAGTTTGGGGGTTCCAACAGGCCCTGGTGAAGGAGTAATGATGAATACTGGGCTTCAGTTCTTTAACTTTGTTTACAGGAGGATCAGGACACTTAATTAAAGTCCTAAATCTATATCTACACTGGCTGAATTCAAGCAAGTAATCTAAATCCTCACTCAGTGGGCATCTCTCTTGTATAGTATACAGAATAACTAGATGATCACTGTAGAGGCCCAGGTACACAGCAGAGCTGTTTACTACTTTTGTTGTTCGTTTTTATACTCTATGCCACAATTAATTTTGATGTGACAAAATGTACCCAAAGCCAGTGGAAACAAATGGGAATTTACAGGCAGACAGGCAGCAGCAGAAGTAGTCAGATCTCACACCTGCATTCTTGTGTGGGTTATCAAGTTGTAATGTTTTTCCTCCCTCAGGGGGACAAAACTGCCAGATCCCAAGTCTACACACGATTTAGCAAACCAATGTTTGTTTACCTGTGACCAGAAGTGACTGGCCAGGCTTACAAGGAATGTCCATAGTGCTGAATAGGCTATAGAAACGACCAGGAAAGGACAGCTCGAACCTAGGTGGCTAGAAAGGAGAGTAGAAGAGGCAAAGCAGAGTAAAATTGCAGCGCGGGGCCAGGAGGTGGATGTGCAGCCTTTAATTTCAGTACTTGGTAGGCAGAGGCAGGTGAATACCAGAGTTTGAGGCCATCCTGATCTACAGAGCAAGTTCTAGGATAGCAAGGGCTACACAGAGAAGCCAACAACAAAAACCCCAGTGATAGTTGTCTCAAAAGCACAGTGGGTCCAATCAAGAATTCAGTTTGACTTTAAAAATAAAACCAAACAACTTTATTTGACAAAAGACAAAAACCAGTTATTTACAGTAGTTTTTTTTTCTCTCAAATATTGTTCAATGGGACAACCATGCTTCTCCAGATTTCTTACAAGCAACCTAAGCAGACTGCCCCATCCCTCATATGCCCCATTTTATTCCAGGAGGGGGGGAATGCCAGAATATGTCAGCAGCACGGCTCCCTCCCTCCTCCCCTGCTCAGTGCATTGTGGGGGAGAAAACTCCCACTCTCCCTGGTATCACCCCCTACTGTGGTATCCTGCAGCAATCCTGGGATCTAGCTAGGTTCAGACAGTTGGGGCAGAAATAGACAAACAGCAAATTCTATGAAGCTGCCATGTTAATCCTTCCCCAGAAATGCCTGGAAGGGATGAGGATGCTAGATCCCCTGGAGGGAAGCAGGAGATCCAGTTTAGGAAAGCAACCCCCCACAAACAACAACTCTCTCAGCTCTCACTTGCACAGCAAGGGATGGGGCTAAGCCACTTAGGAGAGGTAGGGAAGCCTGTAAGAATGGCAGGGGCTCCCTAAGAAAGGCCAGAGTGGTGTATCTGTGACAGGCACTCCAAGTCAGCGAACACCCAGGAGCCCCTTCTTTGTTCACAACCTAGTAAACGTCAGGAAATTACAGTCAGAGCTCTTCAAATCTGGTTATTCAGAACACAAATATTTTGGTTAATAAAACCTAGGATTAGTGTTTCTTAGGATATATAAAGATGGGGTAAACTTGCTGAAAACTAACAAAAATGACAAAGTAAAAAAAGGGAGGGAGGGAGGAGAGAGATTAAGAACACATGTGATCTGTTTCCCGGAGAAAGCTAGGCAGGCCCTTACAATTCCCAGGTGTTGGGCCATCTGTGGCTGCACTGGCCCTTTCCCTCAGGAAGTTCTAGCTACCTTTGTGGAACAAGTGGTGTGTTTGAAGGGCCTCCTGACCAGCAGATGGCTCACTTTTCCCAAAGTAGGAGATGCTGGTGCTTTTGACAACTGGTAAAATTCTTGAATGAATCCAAACAGGCTACAAAAAAAAAAAAAAAAAAAGGGAAGGGAGGGGGGGCTGAAGGGAAAAAATGACACCCAAATGGGAGAGAAAACAAAAACTGCTTCAGTCTAGCTTAACCACCCCAATATAAAAAACAAAACAAAAAAACAAACAAACAAAAAAACCACAGAAACAAAAAACCCAACGTGTCTCTGGCTTTTTCTCTGTCTCTGCTGTGTCGGTCTAGATGGCTGTCTGGTTCAGGTGGACTTGGTTTCGGCTTTATCCCCTTCTGGGCCTGGTGCAAAAAATCCACCACCCGTAGGTATTTCCATCTGTCTTTTATGAGAGTAATCCAAACCAAGAATCAAACAACCACTTCAGGTGGAACTGAGCACGGCTGCAGAGATCCTGCTGGTCCCTTACACAGTCACCCCAGTGCAGTGGTAGATCACCCCGTTTACAAAGCTTCATCGGATAAGGTGCGCTCTCCCCACACCCGTGCTTCCGGGCTCCCTACTGCCATCAATGCAAAGCACAGCAAAAGGAAAATAAACAATTTAGCAAAAACCTAAACATTCAACTGGAGTCGGTTTTGTGATGTCTGCTGGTTCTTTTCCTTTGTCCTTTGAGTAAGTTGGAATGTGCACACGGGGCATGACCAAAAGAGGCACAGCTTAGGGGCAGCTTGGACCTAGCTCAAGTCTGAACTTGGCAGGGTACCTGAGCCTGCCTAGGAAAGCAGGCTGGAGTGCAGGTGTCCCAGGGCTCTCTGGGGAAGCAGCAGCAACACCATGCCTGGCTTTGGTGCCTTGGTCTCCTCAGAGAGGAAGTTTGAAGGAATGTAGTCAGCAGAATACAGGCCCTCATAACAGTGCAGTGACACCAGCTGCTGTCTTTCTGCTGAGGACCTCTGGACAGAGATGATCCAGATGCTTGGCAGTGATCCGTAGATAACCCTCTGTGTGAAAGAGAAGTGAACCAGGAACCTGGGACAGCTGGCCTGAGCCTCAAGCAGCCTGCTAGCAGGTGTCTACTTGGCGTTTTCCGAGACCAGAGGGAGGGAAGTGTGTAGTAACGGGGGTGCTGGACCCTGCTGCTTCTGAAGCTCCATCTCCGCAGCCCTCTGCAGTGCCACCTCCACCAGCAACTGGAAGCTACTGAAGTCTTCCTTGTCCTGCTCTGGGGGTGTGGGTGGCGGCGTATTGAAGAGTCCACCTGTGGGGCTTCCAGCCTCGGCCCTAGTCAGCAGAGTGAGTGTGCTCCCAGGGGTCACCAGGGCCTTAGGGGATTCCAGCTCCATCTGGGGGAAGGGGACTGCTGGCTTTTCACCTTGGCTCGAGTGGAGCGGCATGGAGCACACGGACAAGGAGAGCACGTTGGTGGGGGCTGGTACAGACACAGCCAGCAGGGAGGGACTGCTGCCCCTGGGGAGAGCCACATCAGAGGCCTTACCCCCACGACGGGAAATGGTGAACTGATTGGGGTCTTTGCCATCCTTCCGAAGCATGTCTGGGAGAAGGCGACGGCGGGCGTTGATGAACCAGTTACATATCTAAAATGAGTGTTAAGAGACTATCAGTTAAGTCCATTCAAAACAGTTTATCTAAGTTGTTCTATTACCAATAGACTTGGGAGTCAGGTATTTGGGATATTGTGCTGAAACTCCAATAAATCAAAGAAACAGTGTAAGAGTGACCAGTTGACTCCCTCTCCACACTTCCCAGACCAAAAAGCCCAAGAATCTCCAAGCCCCCTCCCCCTTCTTCCTGTGCTGCTCTATCCATATCCTAGGTCCTCTGTCTGTATTCTCTAACAAATCCTTGTCAGTGAGTTGCTGGCTCCGCTCTGATTCAAGGTTAACTTTATTAACAGTCTTGGGGTGTTAGAGTGTGAACAAATATCCTGCAAAAAAGCTTCAAAGCACTCACTGTACCAGACACCAAGACACAGCAACAAGCAGACAAGGTGCTGGCCGGCGGAAGGGACAATGGTGTTGAAGGAGCTAATGGTGATGTGGAGGAAATAGCTTCTGAGGAAGCGGCTTTCCAATTGAAATGTAGAAAACAGATGGGTGTGGTGGGGCACACCTTTAATCTCATTTAGAAGGCAGAGGCGGGGCATCTTCATGAGTTCAAGGCCAGCCTGTTCTACATCAGAGCTCAATGAAAGCAGTTGGAGCAGGAGATGGGTAGGGAGCACACAATAGTGACAGCAGGACAGCCATGAAAGCAATGCTGAAGGCAGGCCTGTGTGGTTGTTAGAGGCCACAGCTTAGGGTGAGGACTTAGTTTTTCTATGGACAGAGGGTGCCATAGAAGTTATTGGTATTTATTTATTTTGAGGCAGGTTTCACTATATAGCTGTTCTGGAACTCACTCTGTAGATCAGGCTAACTTTGAACTCAAGAGATCTACCTGCTGGGATTAAAGTTGTGCACCACCACCATCCTGATGGAATTTTGTTTTTTAAATCAGTGTGTGTGTGTGTGTGTGTGTGTGTTGTGTGCATGCGCCTGAGTGCGTGCATACACGCATGAGCACATGTAAGTATACATCATGCCTGTAGAGATGAGAGGATAGTTTGTGAAAGTTGGTTCTTTCATCCCATCTTATAGGTCCTAGAGATAGAACTTCAGGTCATCAGGCTTTGTGGCAAGTAGCACCTTTGCCCACTGGACCTCAAGTAACCTTATCAGCCCCATAGGAGGGGTTTAAGCAAAGGAATGACCTATGTAGAGAACAGGCTGCAAACAGAGATGAGATGGTGATTCAGATTACACAGAAGGTGACAGGAAGAAAATGATCTGTCTAGGAAACTAGCTTCCAGGCTACATGTAGGTGGGTATAACAGAATGATGCTAAGAGTGACTCACTCCTAGGCCTGAAGAACAGTTGTAAACCAGAGAGACACAGGGATGCCAAAGGGCTATCAGTCTTGTTCATGTTAGGCAAGTGATGATGTATCACTGAGCTGATACCCAACCTAAGACTCTTTAATTCCCCCAACTCCAGCAGTGTGCTGGTGGTACATGCCTTTAATCCCAGCACTCAGGACAGGCTGAGTTCAAGGCCAACCTGGTTTATAGAGGAATTCAAGGACAATCAGGGACACCAGAGAAACCTTACCTTGAAAAGCAAAAAATTACCCCCAGCTTCACAGTTCTCTTTCTGACCTCTTTGCTCGTGTAACAGTTTGTAAAGTGCAATGATTGGTGACTTCCAGCTAGAAAGAGGTTGTTTGTTTCCTACTGCCACTAGTCTTAGTCCAGATTCCCCAGCCAGGCACTAAAGCCCTCCTGCCCCATCTCTTTCCAACCCCAAACCATGCCTTCCTCTCTTCTGTCAGCATGTTGTTGTAGAATATTATCTTAGGGTGTGTGACTTCTACTTATGCTGCATTTGTTTAACTCTGTGAAGCCGTGATTCTTTGCCTGTCTAAAACAGCTGATGGTCTAATAAAGAGCTGAACGGCCAATAGCGAGCGAGGAGAGAGGATAGGTGGGGCTGGCAGGCAGAGAGCATAAGTAGGAGGAGAAATCCGGGGAGAGAAGGAGGAGCTAGAGCTAGGAGAGAGGACACTAGGGCCCGGCCACCCAGCCAGCCACAGAGTAAGAGTGAAAGCAAGATTACAGAAGTAAGAAAAGGAAAAAGCCCAGAGGCAAAAGATAGGTGGGATAATTTAAGAAAAGCTGACTAGAAACAACCCAAGCTAAGTAATAAGCCTGAGCATGTGTGTGATTTATTTGGGAGCTGGGTGGCGGGCCCCCAAAAGAGTAAAGATTAAAATAACAATAGCAGCATGTGAGACAGCTTTTAGGCCCTGCTCATTCAAAACAAAACAAAACAAAATATACAAGCCAGCTTTTAGTCCCTGCACTCTCCAGACAAAGGTAGGGTCTGAGTTCCAGGACAGCCAGGGCTACACAGATAAGCTGTGACCAAAAAAAAAAAAAAAAAAAAAAAAAATTCCAAAGACCTCCATGCCTTCTACATAGCACGTTCCTTTCTTGCCAACTGGCAGACAAAGGTGCAGGTTCTTTTTTGCATCTCCAGTGCAGATTTCTCCAACACAGTGCATTGGATTTTCTTCATGAAGGGTGTTGGGCTGTCTCCAGTTTCCCTCGTGAACAGACTCAAAGCTCAGGGAGGCAGGAGCCAAGACAGAAGAGTCACCTCTCTACAGCTGTTTCAGGACCCAGAGCCCAGCTTGCTGTAGTTCCTAGAACTGTTGAGTTAGAGCCTGCCCCCCGTCCCCTGCTTCTTTTCTGGGCTTCTTGTATCAATTGTTTATAGGGCCAGTCCTTTGGTGGATGATGGAGCCGCCTTTTAACACTCATTGCCCCCCCCCGCCCCGAGGCACTAACATCCATCTGGTTATGCAATGGTAGTAAACAAATAGGTCAGTGACCACCAGTACATGTCCAGAAACAGGAAGGAATAGTATATAACCCTAAGATCCCTCTCTGACTACTTCCTGTTGGCCATGACGAAGCTCCCCCACTGTCCAGCACACTGCTCATGGCTACTATGTCACTGTTCATAACTAGCCCAGAAACAAAGAAGCTGTCATTGACCAGGCCTCTGCATCCCATCCATGAGCAATAAAACAAACCCTAACTTCATTAAAAATAAATATCAAACATCAGAGACAGGGCTAACAGATCTGTGTGAGAGTGTAATTAAGGGCTAGGGCCAAACACATACAGCAACAAGGAAGCAGTAGCAAACACTAGAGGGCCACTGAGCCGAAGAAGCCAGCTGTGATGGTACACACCTGTAACTCCAGCACTGGGAGGCCAAGGCTACAAGTTAGGTTCAAGTTTGAGGTCCACTTGGGCTACGTAAGACCCCGCCTCAAACAAAAGGACTAATGGATAGATTTTGAATACATGTTATTTGTGCATCTAGTTACCCAGCAGCTAAGGCAGAGTAAAACCTCCACATCCAAGAACAACAAAAATGGACAAGGAAGAGGGTGTGGTGGATGACAAATTCTTAAGTCGCAGGGCTGATCTCACTAGTTGGGAACACCAACCATGTGGTTTCACTGAAGTCTGACATGCTAGGTCCCACTGGCTTGCTGGTTCATCAGCAGATACTTAGAGCCTATACTAAGTACCAGCTGCCATAGGAAAGAGAACAGTCAGGAGTCTTCACTTCCTGAGAAAGCTGCAGCAATGCTCCAAACTTCCCTACTGTCTGCCTAGGAGATCAGCGACCCCAGCTTTTGTAGCCATATCTACCCCTGACTGTTACCAGGCTTCCTTCTTGGTAGTCTCTTGAGCGAGTCTTTGGGTCTAGTCTTCCCATGGGATCTCTGCCATGTCTAGCCGAAGAGACAAATACCGGTGATGGAGACTGATCAGAAGCAGGCGCAGCTTAGTATCTTGCCAGTTGCAGTTATACCTGCCTACAGAAGAGTCCTGGCAGGCTGACAGGACACAAAGGCGCCTGTGGCTCTCCTTTCCCTCTGTGCTCCAGCTTCAAGAGGGCCTGCCCCTGAGCAATTTTTATCCCTTTTCATCTCAGTGGTTTCCCCAGTGTAACCAGGTGCACACACAGACACCAGCAGGCACTGGCAGACACTTGCTGGAGCTCTGACTGGGTCCCTTAGAAAAGGAAGGCTGAACTGCTGGGGGGTGAGAAGAAGGAAATAGCTTAAGCACTGTTGACATCGGCTTCTTGCTAACCACTTCATGGATATTCAGCTAAATGTGCACACAAGCCTGGGAGGTAGTAGCCAGGGTTCCCAACGCCATAGAGAGGGGAGTACAGAGATGAAGAGATGTGCCTTGGGGTGTACAGCTGGTTTCACATCCTGATCTCTTGCTTAGTGGTCTCACTCTTTGCTCACCTGGCACAGGGACAGCTAAGTAATGCTCACAACCTCAGCTCCAGATGGACCCACTCATTTAACCTCCACGGTTGAGCTGGTGGCCATCACTAGGAGTCTAGTAACTTTCCCTTAAGCCTCAGGTTTGAAGGCTGCAATTTGACCAGCCCGGGAGTGAGCTTAAGACCCTTTCTCCCTCCCACCAAAGGCAGGACCTGTCGATATGCTTCCTACCTCCCTCAGCCATCTATAACAGGAACCATACAACTCTCTACTTTACTGAGGGTGTGAGGTGGTGGGAACAGGGAGGGAGCAGGGGTTGTTTTAATGACTTGTCTAGCAAAGCTGGGAAGAATGTAGCTGTGCAGAAAGCAGGAAGCTTTCTGGGCACCAGTTGGCAGCTGTGTAGGCACATAGCCCCAGGACACCTCCCCCACGCACCCTCCTTCACAGATGGTGTGCATTATTGCTTTGTCTTCTTGTCCCATAGAACTGCACATCTGAGGGGGATGAAGGAGTAACCCCTGGTTTTATGCAGTCCTGGGGACTCATAGCAGGACTTTGGGATTATTAGCCAAGTGATCTACCAGCTGAGCTACAAGCTCAACCCTTTATCATGGATTCCCTCTACCACCCCACTCCAGTACTAGGGATTGAACCCAGGGCCTCATGCAGACTAGGTAAGTGCCCTATCACTGAGCTACACACCTACTCCGTGGGATTTTTAAAAATATACTAAAATAGCTACTTTCTATCTGCTTCATGGATTTGGGGCAGGTAGAATGAGGTGGAGATGACAAGATTTCGCTCCCTCTCTCAAGATAGGGTCTCAAGTCTCACACTGTAGCCCTGGCTGGCCTGGAACTTAAGAAAGGTCTACCTGCTCCTGATTCCTGAGTGTTGGGATTAAAGGTATTCACCCACATGCCAGGTACACTCGGTGTTTTGTTTTTCAAGAGTCTCTATAGCTCAGGCTGATCTGATTGTGACAACCCTCCTGGAGGTCATAGATATGAGGCACCACCTCAATCTGGCACTACAAGTTTTAAACAAGGGCTCCAGAGAGCTGTTATCCAGACTCAGGAGCAGTGGTTCGTCCCCTGGTGTAACTTGTTTTTGTGAATGTCAACAGTCCGTTTACTCAAATTAAAAATGTCACACAGAAGGGCCTTGGGGCACAGGCCACATGCTGCTGCCTGCCTGTGGAAGCCCCAGCTTGGAGAGGACAGGACATAAATATAGTAACTGCCTGCACTATGTGGACAGGCCACTCCTCCCACTAGGCCTTCACAGGCTCCACTTACCCCAGGGCCTTAGCAGGGGCCCTGCTGGCCAGAGGGTGGGCTTAGGAAAGGCTATGAAGAGGGGGCCTTGAGAGAGAAGCCTGCCTGTTTGCCTTCAGCACACAGAGCCCTTCCCATGTGTCCCAGGTGTGGTGAAGCTAAGAGACTCAGAACCCTCCAGGCAGTCCAGTAAACAGGAAACCAGATGAGTCCGACCAATAACCTGAGCTTTGACTGTCACAAGGACCAGTGAAAATCCTCCACAAGAGATCTTCTTTTGGATTTTTAGCCTCCCAATTGCCTTGCTATGGGCAAAAAACAGCAAACCATTTACTTACATGACTCATTGACTTGCTAATGCATGTCTCCAGGGCAAGTTAAAAGAGACAATCAAAAGAGATGCCCCAGGGAGAAGAAACCAGCTTGGCATGATGTAGATACCTGTTGAGGCCAGTGGTGAGTTCATTTGAATACTCTTCCTTTGGGGCAGGGAGTGTGGCATATTGGCAGAGCTTGGAAACCTCCTTAAGAGCAAAGGACATTTTGAATGTAAATACAAAGATGTGTGACTGGGGAGCTATGGCATTTTCATTTTCTGCAGTTGTAGTTACTGCAGACACTGATCAAAAACACCCAGAGTGGAGCCTAACAACAAACAAAACTAAGTAAGGACTCTACCATTTAAATGTCCTAATGCTGGGCCAGTACAGGAGCCCAGGTTCTGTGGAATCACTCCTTTAGAGGCTGGGGTTCCTTGCTCAGAGTAAGCTTTGTAGTAATTACAGTACACAGCAGGAATATGGGTCAGAGATGAGACCTACGGCTAAACACTTGTGAGCCTGGCAGGAGCCATTCAAGGATTTTATGTCTTAGAATGTCAGTGAAGACAAGGAAAAGCATGGGATCGAGAAGTTGCATTCCTGTTAGGCATGGTGGTGACACAAGCCTTTGGATCTCTGTGAGTTCAAGGCCAGCCTGGTCAACATAGAGCGTTCCAGGACAGGTAGGGCTATACAGAGAAACCCTGCCTTGAAAAACCAAAAAGCAAACAAATAAAAAACAAAACACCCAATAAACAAAAAAATTAAACAAAACCAAAATAACAAAATAAACAAAAAGAGTTGTTATTTTCAAGCCGTGCTAGTGCATATCTTTAGGCCCAGCTCCAGGAGGCAGAGGCAGCTAGATCTCTTATGAAAGAAGGCCAGCCAAAGCTACATAGCAAGACCTTGTCTCAAAAGCCCAAATCAAATCTTACATTCCATTACACGTAAGGGAAATGTATAAAGGGGCCTGAACTCTCAGGAGACTCTGAAAAGGCAGGGTAGCTCTCACTTTTCACACAGGTACTGAGAGCCTTGAGAGAGGGGCACTGCTGAGGCTGACTGGGATTGAGCGCAGGTGTCCTTTAGGGACTGCTTGATGGTCTCTACTGGTCCCTAACTCTCAGTACAGTACAAGCAGGTGGCCATCACTGGGATCCAGTGGCTGATCCCTGCCCTATGCTTGGATGCTGCAAGTGGAGCTGTGGTCCTAGGGAACCCACTGGTCTCTACAGGATATTTTGATTCATTTTCCACTCTGATCACAAGTAGATCCATCATGTGCAAGTACACAGCAGAAGCAGGTGGCAAAAGATACTGGCCCCTTTAGTGCAGTTAGGTGAGTGTCATGCTTTTATATTTATCTGCTCTGAAAAACTGGCTTTATAGCTGTGTATAAGAGCAAAATTAAACACCCTTATCCGTTTTATGTTTGCACACACTTATGACATGGTAATAAAAGTGACTGAAGCTAACATTTTGAGGGGAGTCAGGGCCACAAGAACAGCTCTTCTAAGCAGTGCTGGGGAACCCTGCTCCTTTGGGAAGCTAGGCCTCATCATTAAACCAGTTTTTTCCTCCCATTTGTTAAAGGGGGGGGGGGTGTCAGGACATTCCTAAGGTTTGAGAACTGGTGTCCTTGATAAGAAGCAATTCTAATAGAATGTCTCAAGTGGTTTGACATGTGTGAGGCGAGGTGAGATGCCATTAGGGAGGTGCAGCAATGACTCAAAGAAGGCTGCAAGCCAGAGTGTGTGTGAGAGACAAGTGCTCTGTCAGAGTGAAGCAAATGAAGAAGACTGCTCGGATGTCCATGATCAAGCGCCAGTTCCAAGAAAAATTGGAAAGGATGCTGGGGTAGTCTGGATCCCATTGAAGACAGTGGGTCCCTATGAGTAACATGATCAGATGTATAATTTTGTTACTGAAGGATAAAGGCTGGAGGCAGGGGGACCAGCAAAGGCTGTCTAGGCCTGGTCCTAACTTCTAGGCCTTTTTTTTTTTTTTTTTTTTTTAACCAATGTGCCTCTAGGACAACTAAGTTCAAGCCACCTTCCAAGGTGTCCTGATGGAGGCCCCACAGGCCTCCTGTTACCCTGTGTTTCCACTGTGTTATCCCAGTAGTCATCTGTACCCTGCTTGCCCCCCCCAAGACTAGAGGCTCCTTAAGGTATCCTTGAGGTAGTAGCTGGGCCCAACGGAGGCACCCAAGAAGAAATATGAAGTGTGCCACGTACCCTGTGTGAACCCCTGGAGGGTTAGGAACCAGAGCAGAAGACAAGCACCCAAATGGTGCTGGAAATCTTGAGAACGCTCCAAGCTTCTTCCCATTGTCAGCTGAGAAAATGGGACTCAGGAGACAACAGCAGCCTGGCCAAGGACCAGAGTCCTCTTGTGAAGTGGGTGTGATGCCAACCAGTCCTTTAAGAGTCTAGACCCTGTCTTGGGATAGACGTGGGCTAACCACTGCCTACAGTACATAGCTAGGTCACAGGAATTTTACAGACTGACTACTTACCATGCCTTTTCATGGAAGGAGGAAGAGGTGGGAAGCTGGGGAAGTGGCTAGGTCAGGGTGAGTGACGGGCGGAGGGAGAGAGCTTGTGGGTTGGACATGAGATTGTATGAAAGGACAGAGGAGACGAGCAGAAGGAAGCCTATTGCCTCATAAAAGGAACTGTGAAGCCAGCTAGACAGGGACAAGTCCCTGGTGCTAGGCTGAGGGCCTACTGCAGATCTCCTACAGGGAGATAGAGCCAAACCAGATCTTGAACACTGGTGGGTCAGCACCAAGAACACAGAGCAAAGCCTTCTGCAGGTCAACAGGACAACCAAAGAGACATTACTTCGAGTACAAACATCTCAAATGTGCCCCGGTACTTGTTTTTTACAAAGGTTCTCAAACCCAGTTCAAAATCTGTCCCTCCTCACAGTTCCACCAGGCACTGGAGAGGAATGTGTGGCTATCCTCCTCTTCCTGAGTGCTGGGGTCCTAGGTGTGGACTAAAGCTCTAGCTCCAGCTCAATTTTTAAAAAGACCTCTTTAACATTAAGGGAAAAACAAAACTATTTTGGGTATATGTGAACCTGAAGAGTCAAGAAATCATTGGATCTGCTGGAGCTGGATTACAGAAGGTCCTGCACTATCTGATATTAGTGCAGAGCCAAACTTGGATCCACAGATCAGGAAGTGCTCTCAACCCCTTGGTCACCTCCTCAGTCCCTTCAACTCATGTTTTAACCATCGCGGAACCCAGCTGTCCTGCAATCAAGTCCTGTTCAAACAGTGTGGCGGGCTGCACAGAAGCTCAGCTTCTCAGTGCCATCTCACCTTCAAGGTCAACAATGGCACCAGTTACAATTCCTTATTCCTTCAGAAGCTGCAGAGAGCCCACTTTATTGTCTTCCCTTGGGGCCAGTAACGGCAGGGATCAGGGACAGAGCTGGAGACAGACTGTGCGGCAGGGATCAGGGACAGAGCTGGAGACAGACTGTGCTGGGTCCCGTCTTACCTGTAGCACCGAGAGGTTGGTCTGCCCTGAGAGACTTAGCTTTTCCTGCTCTGAGGGGTAGGCGTTGTAGCGGTGCAGATATAGCCAGTCCCGGAGGATCTTCACCGACTCCTTGGGCAGGTTCCCCCTGCGCTTCCTCTTGCCGGCCAGTGACAGAAGGCCTTCGTCCTCACCTAGATCGCTGTCCGACATGGTGGTGCCTAGGGGCTAGGCTGGACCTCTGGGAAGCCTAGGGCAAGTGACAAAGGGGGTGGGGATAACATTACCACTTCATGCCTATCCCCTTTTCCTTCTTAACTATCACAAAAAGGAGTCATAGTTCCATATGACCAGTACCATAGCTTGAGCAAGTAGGATAAATCCTAAATATCACCAATTCAGAGAAGGGACTACTCAAACATGTGTGGCACCTCTTTTTTAAAAAACAGAATAGGACTAGAAAGAACTACAGCTTTCTACTTACTGTAGTTCTATTGAGACAGGGTCTCAATATATAGCCCAGACAGGTCTTAAGTCACAAGCTCCTGCCTCTGCCTCCTCAGTGTCAATGCCCAGCTTGGGTTCTGTTTTCCAGCCTGCCCTGGACACTTAACATCTATTACCTCTTGTGAAAGCTCCTGTAAAGGAGAAACATCACTTTATACACGAAGAACAGACTAAGAAAGCTGCCTAAGGCACCAGAGAGTTACCACATGACCCAGAATTTGAACCACACACATGGGCCCATGCAGAGCAGATGCCTGTGCACAAATGCTCACAGCAGCCAAAAGTTGGAAACCATCAAGAGATCTTCAACAGATGGCTGGACAAATGAGTTATTTGGACATAAAAAGGAGTACAGTGGGGCTGGAGAAGTGGCTCAGCAGTTAAGAGCACTGGCTACTTTTCCAGTGCCCAGCACCCAGTGTAAGGATTCAGGCATTATGCTGGTCTGCCTGTCACCTGGCAGAAGTCACTCAGGCAGTACTCTGGGTTCAAAGGACCTCTTTAAAAGAAAGACCCCCTCCCCATTACACTCTTTCAGCTCCTTTCCCTCTCCCTCTTTTAACACACACCCCACCCAGTTCCCCTGGGGGAGACAGGACTTCTCCTGGCTCCCTCTTCTCTTCAGTCCTCTCCTGCCTCTGTGTCTCTTTACCTCTTTTCTCTTTCCTCTCCCCCTTCCCTTTCTAATAAAATTTCTCACCTAAGCGATGTCTGCCTTAGTATTTGTCCCCGCCTCGGTCACCCTCACCTGCCATGGAATCTGCCAAGGTTCCCGTCGAGACTTATCATAACACATGGTAGCTCACAACCATCTGTAACTCCAGTTCTTGGGGATCCAATTTGTTCTTGTGCCCCATGTAGGGTGTGTGTGTTTACAAGCACTCATATGTATAAAACAAAATAAATAAAAGAGAGTACACTTTTTGATGCCTGTTACAACATGGATGGATTAAACAGTTAATTAGGGCTGAGGGGACAAAAGGACATTAGCTTGTTAATAATTTATTTTAGAACTTTATACACATATAATAATATTCTTTGATCAGAGTACTATTATCTTCCTGTTCTTCTAAGATTTTATTTCTTTTATGTATATAGATGTCTAATGTATGCACCACGGATGCAGTACCCATGAAGGCCTGGAGAGGGCGGAGTCTCTGGGATTGGAGTTACAAATAGTTGTGAGTCTGTGTCCATACATACTGGGAACTTGTTCTCAGCAGGAACAAGTGCTCTTAAACCACTGAGCCATTCATTTCTCCTGCAAATCCCCTCCCCCACACCTGCTCTTATTTTAAAAGTGAATCTGGGGCTGGAGAGATGGCTCAGCAGTTAAGAGCATTTGTTACTCTTATTACAGAAGACCTGGGTTGCATTCCCCACACCGAAATTGCAGTTCACAATCATCCATAAATCCAGTTCCAGGGGATCAGAGGTCCGTTGCTGCCCTCTAAAGTGCACATACATATATTCATAAATCTCTTTTTTAAATTAAACCTAAAATTTTTAAAAAGAGAACCCCCAGCTCTTAAGATCCATTATAAAGGAGTATTTAGTTTCGGGTAGCTTTCCTGCCTAGGCCCAGAGACAGATCTGGAAACTGTTCACTGAGGTCCTGCAGCCAGCCCCTGTGTAGTGCAGGGAGGGGTGAGTCATTCCTATGATGGTTTCTTAGACCCTCTCCGTGGTTGCGTCTCTGACCTGGACCCAGACTGAATCTCAGAATCCAGATCAATGAGTTATGGCTTCAGTCCCTGCTTTAACTTCCACTGGGCTGGCCGTGTGAGCCTAGTTCAGTGGCCTTTCTCTCGAGTTTAAAGCCCTCCTCCTTCCCTGGTCAAAGAAGGAGGTTTCTGCCTAGATAACTCATATCAGCTGCTCTTCCACCAGACAAAGTTCCTGTTCACAAAAGCAAAAGAAATTTACATTTTAAAAGCACAAGTTCTAGGCCAAGGCTGTGCCAGAATCTCCAGGCTCCTCCCTTCTCTGCCTTTTAACAGCTCCCCAGCAGGCCTAGCCAGCAGACTCTGGCAGCTCCCAGGTTTTGTTTCCTCGACTTGGGCCTGAGCCCAGACCTCTGGGCCGGCTAAGCCAGACTTTCTAGGGAAGGGTCTACCTTCAGCCAGGCCACCTGGAGGTGAAATGAGCACTGCTACTATTCCTCAAAGTATCACAAACGGGCTGCTTTCTGAGGGGAGACACTTCAGCCACTAGGACAGCTGGGACACAGCTCAAGAGTGCAGCCCTGGCAGTGGGTGAAAGTTTACTGAAGATCATCTTTACAAATTCCACTCTGGCTGCCAGCCAAGAACCCAGTCTTCAGGGTTACCAATGTGGGGCCACAGGAGGACCCTTCAGTGAGAACTGTTTCACCTCTGGATCCTGCACCCAGGCTTGCCTACAGGTTTCCCCACACGCATCCGCGTATTACCTCGATAGCCCCCCACCCGCCATGCAAGTTTAACAGTGTTCCAATAACCGACCCGACCCACTGCTCACATCCCACAAGCTCCCCGAGTTTTATGAACGCACACAGTTTACACCCTATACGTAGCACCAACGACTACGACGACTCTTGAAGACTAGGCCAACTCCTGCACCCGCCCACCCACGAACTCCAAATGACCTGCCCACCCACGATCTCTCCGACCGAGGGGCCCGCACGTCATCACACTGGCCATCCATCACCTTTCACCCTAACTGGGTTATTGGCTGCACCCCTTGGACAGTGCGCCCCATGCAATCTCCTACACACTCCCACCACACCATCTGCTGCAGCCACTCCCACAGGAACTTTCTGACAACTCTCCCAGCTCCAGATACTCTCCCCCAGGCCGCACACAGGGGCTGGAGTTCTCAGCAGTTCACACAAAGCGCGCAACCTCCCCCACGGCCCAGACGCAAAGGAGCACATGGCTCATGGGGCGCCGACGAATCCGCCGGCGCTCAGAGCACCCTCAACCCCCCCCCGCCCTCCCTCCGAGTCACGATGCGTGCAACAGCTCCCCTGCCCGCCCGCCACCTGGAGGGGGGGCACTCTGCAAGAAAGAAAACTCACGTGTCCATTCTGAGGCAGGAAAAAGTTTGGTTCCCAACCCGTTCCCCGGTACTCTGCGCAGGCTGACTCTTGGGGCGCGGGGCCGCCGGAGCGTGCGCGCTCGGCTTTGTGCTCCGAACTCGGCCCGGAGGGGGAGGGGAAGGGAGAGGGCTGGGCTCCAACCTCCGCACCGCCCCCCCCACTTCAGCCCTGCGCCCAGACTCCATGTTGGTCGCCCCCCTGCACCGGGGACGCGCACAGCCCCCGCAGAAGGCTCGGCGGCCCCTGGCCTGGCCCCGCGGTCCCGGCGCGCACAAACTTTCTCCGCTTCGCCAGCCCCACGCGCCCCACAGCCTTGGCCCGCCCGAGAGTGACAGATGCCTCGGAGACAGACTTTCCTTTGTTCCAAAGGAAAAGGGAACTCGCGCGGGCTCCCCAGCCGCCCCCGTCGGGGCCCCGCCCGCGGCCCCCACCTCCAGCTGTCACTCGGCGGCCCCCGGTCCCGCTCGGCCGCCGTGGGGGGGGGGCTGCCGGCGGTTAGCAACGTGCACTTTTGAAACCAAACAAACCCGCTCCCCGCGCGCTCATCCCGCTGCGGGGCACCGGCCGCTCTCTCCAGGCTGGGGTCTTTGGGAGCCGCCCCCCCAAAAGGATGCCGAACGAGCCACCCCCCAACCCACGACACCCCGCGCCAGAGTTCAGCGGCCGGGACTCACACACACCCCCGGGCTCACACACCCACTGTCGCACGCGCCGGGACGACGCCCCCTCCCCCGCCCCGCCGCCCCAAGAAACTTTCCAAGTTGTCCGCGCGCCCCAACCCGCGTCTCTAGCCCTCCGGCGCCCCACATTCACCTTCCCCGGCGGCTTCCCGGCCCACGCGGCCTCAGTGGGGTGCGGGACGGCCCGGCCGGGGCGGGGGGCGCCGGGGGAGCGCGCCTCGTACCTGCCGGGTCTGACACCCGCCTGACAGCTCGCGGCTGGAAAGCACCTCGCGACCTGACGTCAGATCCCCTCTCCTCCCATCGCGCCCGCCGCCCCCTCCCCCACCGCCCCGAGGCAGAAACAAACTTTGCGCGGAGCGTGGCCAGCTACGCCCACCCTCGGGGGCGGGCCCGCGGAGCGGGGGGGGGCTTTCGCCCCGCCCACGCGCCGGAGGGGCGGGGCCGCGGCCCCTCCTTCCTGAGCCCACCCACCTTAGGAATGCCACATGGCCCGGGCCGGGGGCGGAGCGGTGGGACCAGGAGTCAGCTCGGGGGCAGGAAGTGGCCCTCTCCTCCTTTCGAAGAGCGTTTCCGGAGAGTCTGCTGTCTTCAGCTCCTCGCTGGGGGTGGGGAGCTGCGGGGCCACAAGGGGTGCCAGTCCCAGGACCTTTGTAAGTTCGTTCCCTCCTTTGGGTGCTTGGCCGTGTGGGGATGGGGAAACTGAGGCTCAGTAGATAAGGGAGACTTAACTGCCAGCTGCTAAAGGACCTGTGATTTCAGTCCGGAAGGTCGCCGGAAAAGGTCACTTTGGATAAACCCCAGCTTAGGGCCTAGCGCGGAGGGTCGGCCAGGGGTGAGTACAGGCTGCGCCTTAGGAGCGCGGGTGAGGCAGGCAACAGCCACGCTTTGGAAGTGTGAGCAGTTCTTTGGCCCACGTGACCCACATGGGTCTCATGATAGTGCCCGAGTCTTTCTCTTGGTGGGTAGCCTTAGATGGAGACGGAGGGTGAGGCTAGGCTCTTCCCAGCGATCCAGGCTGGTGTATTTTTCCTCAGGTCTTCCTTGCCTCCAAGTTCCCTCACCCGCTGCTGTCTGTTGTGTCTTTACCTAAGCGTGGCAGAGCCTAACCCTAGCTCAGAGAGGCCTTTTCTGGGTTTATGGTCATATAGGCTCAGAATCAGCTCTCTTTTTTTTTTCCTTTGAGTTTAGTCACAAAAAAACTTTGGGAACAAAAGTTAATTTTCCTCCCAGAAAGCCCTAAGCGAATCAGAATACTGATCAGGTGACTTTTTTCTGATGCACTTGAGTATTTATTATGTATGTAGAGTTCTGCTTTCGTGTATGCCAGAAGAGGGCACCAGATCTCACTATGGGTGGTTGTGAGCCACCATGTGGTTGCTGGGAATTGGAACTCCAGATCTTTGAAAGAGCAGCCAGTTCTCTGAGAACTACTGAGCCATCTCTCCACCCCACTCAAATGACTCTTAAGGTGTACCTGGGTTTCATGAAAGCCAGACTTGCCTGAAAATGCTTTAAACCAAATGGCCATGCTGCTTTCCATCTAATACTGCTGGGGAAGCCAAGACCCAGAGGTGGGCACAGCAATTTCTTACCCAAGTGGTTTTCCATCCATAGATCTTGGGAGTCTTGGGCACTAGGCTAACAGTATGCAAGAGGCAGAGACCCTTATATAGGTGGGACCACTAGGTAAAACAGGGGCAGCCAAATGAGCCTGAAGATTTGACCAGGTTCTTAGCTGCTGAGCTAGATCTCATGCTAGGAGTGTGCTGCAGATAAGAGCCACATCTTCTCTTTGGAGCGGTGGCCACTGGTGGTCATGCACAAGCCTGTGGAACTCCACAGATTCCATTTGTGGCACCCTGCTAGGCCAGTGTTTCTAAGTCTGCTCAGTTGGGAGGTGAAGGGAATGACCTGCTCCTTCCCATGGCCTGTAACAGAGTCAAGTGAATGCTGGCTGACAGCTCTGAAGTCTCCGTCCCCCGTCCCCTGCTGGGGTGCGGGAGGCTGGTCAGGATTTCACATAAACAAACCCCCAAGCCTAAATATGCCATGAATTTGACAGTTACCAGGTCAGGCTTCTCTGTAAATATAGGTGAGTTGTGTGCATCCTTACAGTAGACGAGATTCCCACTGGGTTAAGGTTTTTAAAAAGCTTGCCTGAGATCGGTTTGTTCTGGAAAATTCAAACATCTGGGTGCCCTTCCTGGGATCTGGATGGTTATTGGCAACAACTGGAAAATATCATGGTGTAAATCTTGGTGCTCTGTACCAGAGAGGGCTGGTATGTGTTTATTTTCAGCTACAGTGTTGTGCCTAGGAGGGCCTTTGGCCAGACTTGATAATTTTGACAAGAAAACTTTTTCCAACTGGTGTTTGTTTTGGTTTGTGACAAAATCTTGCTGTTTCCAGGCTGGCCTTAAACTCCCAAGCTCAACCGTATTCTGCTTCAGACTCCCAAACAACACTGTGTACATGAACCTCCATGCCTGATGGTAAGTTGTAATTGTTATCTCTCCTTTTTTTGGTTGGAATGGGTAGTCTTGCTATGTTGTCTGGAGTCCTTGGGCTTAAGTTCTTCCAGTTCAGCTTCTTGAGGACCAGGACTACAAGTGTCCCCTGCCATACCTGGCTGTGTCCTGTAGTTTTGTTATATGCACTCTTCTCTAACAAATGTGAATTTGAAACCTAGCACCATATATACAGTACGTGGATACATACATATATTACTGTGGCAAAAAAAACCTTTCTTTTTCCCACACATTAAGAAATTGCTAAACCGGGTGTTGGTGGCACATGCCTGTAATCCCAGCACTCGGGAGGCGGAGGGAGACCGATCTCTGTTAGTTCTAGACCAGCCTGGTCTACCGAGCTAGTTCCAGGACAGGTTCCAAAGCAATACAGAGAAACCATGTCTCGAAAAACCAAAAAATAAAAAAAAAAAAAAAAAAAGGAAAGAAAGAAACTGTGCTGGTTGTGATGGCACTCACCTTTAATCGTGGCATTTGGAGGCAAGTGGATCTCTGAGTTCTAGGCCAGCCACAGGTACACAGTGAGACTTTGTCTCAAAGGAGGAAAGGAAAAATGGATGGATGGATGGACTGCATCTAGGGCTGAGGCTGCAGCTAAGTGGTGGGGCTCTTGCCTAGCATGAGTATAGCTCCAGGATCAATGCTCAGTACTTCCATAAAACAAAAACAACAACCAAAAAAGAAAACATCGACTTAGAAGTTGCCTTGACGTTTTTTGAGGCCAGTGTGGTGAAGTATGTAAGTAATCCCAGCGCTCTAGAGGTAAAGACCCAAGAATCATGAGTTCAACGTCAGCCTCAGTCATATAGTAGTGGTTCTCAACCTTCCTAACATTGAGACCCTTTAATATAGTTCCTCAGGTTGTCGAGACTCCCATCATAAAATTATTCGTGGCTACTGTATAACTGTAATTTTGCTATATGAATTGTAATGTTAACATCTGATATACAACCGCAAAGGGGTTGAGACCCTGTCTCAAGACAAAAACAAAGAAGCCATAACCCTGGAAAGAGAGATTTTCCTGACTATGATCTTGGGGTGCTGACCTCTGGGGTGAGGCCTGAGAGGGGAAGTGGGTGGTGCTTTATCCTACGGGATTCCCTGCTCCATACCAGAGAAATGCAGGGTAGAGAAGCTCTCAGGGGAGACTGCACTCGCCCCGCCCCTAAAGGGTGGTCACAGAGGTGCAACTACCTGCCATAGGCAGGCAATCGGGCCTCACTGGAGGCAGGATCCCGGAGGAGCCACAGCAGGCCTCTTGTGTCTGCATGTGGTTCCCACTGCTTGAGGGCTTGGTCAGGCGCATGAGGTTTAGCTTTCACTTAGTTGCTAGATCTTTACCTATTTACCTAATTTCCTTATTTCTGCTCTTGGTGCTGGGGATGGAAGCCATGTCCTCATGCAAGCAAGTCTCCTCCCATCATGCCACATGCAAGGCCATGTTTAATTAAAAATATTATTTTGCATGTATTTAGTATGTGTTGGTGCATGAGGGGGTCAGAAGATAATCCTCAGGGATCTGGAGATTGAATTCAACTTTTATCAGGCTCAGTAGCAATGGTCCTTACCACTAAGCCGGGGTTTAATTTCTTTTTTTTTTTTTTTTTTTTTTTGAGACAGGATTTCACCTATATATTTATGGTTGGGCCTAGAACTTTCTATTTAGGCTAAGCTGGCTTTTGAGGGGGCAGTTCAAAACAGGGTTTTTCTGTGTATCTTTTGGAGCCTGTCCTGGCACTCACTCTGTAGACTAGGCTCTGTTGGCCTTTGACACCTGAGTGCTGGGACTGAAAGCATGCACTAACTCCACCAGGCCTAAGATGACTTCCCAAGTGCTGGGATTAAAGTTATGGCCTGTTGTGCCTAGCACCCATTTAATTTTCCAGTGACTACTTTGTCAGACTAAATGCTTCAGCCTGGGGAGCCATTGGTTGGGCTCCCCAGAACTATGGTAAGTCAAAGCTATTACAGCTGTTAAAGCCTGTTGTGAATGCCTATCCTCATAGGAGAGCAGTTGTGATTGTTATGGTGTCACAGATCTGCTACAAGTGGCGCCTGTCATTCTGTAACCTCCAGGTTGTTCATCTGTTAAAAAAGCTCCCAGCACATAGGATGCAGAGACAGGCCAATCTCTCTGAACCCAAGGCCAGCCAGGACTACACAGTAAGACTCCATCTCCAAAAATAAGGAGAGAGTAAATGCTGTTGAGAGGTCTCAGTGGGTGAAGGCACTTGCTTCAAAGGCTGTTGACCCATATTATACAAAGAAAGGACAGATTCCTACATATTGTCATCTTACCTCCATGTGTTTACACACACACACACACACACAGAGGAGGGAGTGCACACCTCCCCAGTAAGTAAATAAATAAATAAATGTTAAACAATGATTAAGAAGATTTAGAGAGGGCTGGAGCAATGGCTCCGCACTTAAGAGTACTGCTTGCACTTCCAGAGGATCTGGGTTCAACTACTAGCACTCACATGGCCGTGTCAGGGGATCTGACACACTTGCTGGTCTCTTAGGGCACTGCAGGAACAGGATACATTGACATACATGCAGACAAAACACCTATACACACAAAATTAACAAAGGAGGATTTGAAGAAAACAGTTGTATTTATTTTGAGACAGGGTCTCACTGTTTATCTCTGGCTGTCTGGAATACACTATGTAGACCAGGCTGGCCTCTTAACTCACAGAGATTCACCTACCTCTGCCTTCCAAGTGCTGGGAATAAAGGTGTCTGCCATCATGGCTACTTTTATTTATTTGTTATTTAAAATAATTGTATATGTGTGTGAGTGTGGGTTTGTCTATGTAAGTGCAATAACCATGGAGGCCAGAAAAGGCATTCTGATTTCCCCAGAGCTGGAGTTCTAGGCAGCCAATGGGTCGTGGGTATGGAAATGGAACTCAGGTCCTTTGAGAGAGCAGCATGGTCTCCTCTAACTGCTGAGATGTGGCTCTAGCCCTGTGGCGTTCTAGTTTTGTATCTGTCAACACCTGGGGTCCAACACCTCCAACATGATTATAGAAGTCAACAAGTAGGAATAGGCTTTTGAATCAGGGAGAGTTAATTAAGTTCTTTTTTCCTTGTGGGGGTAAGTGGGTGTTGTTTTTGAGACAGTGTCTAATACAGTCCAGGCTGGCCTTGAACTTGCTATGTAGCTGAGGATGACCTTAAACTCCTGATCCTCCAGCCTATCTACCTCCCAAGTGCCCCTTTATTGCAGACCTTGTCACACACAGCCCTTATTTTGTTGTTATTTCTTACTTATTCTTTTTTTTTCTATGGTGGCGATGGGGGGGAGAGGGTGGTTTGCACACTGAGAAGCATTTGCTGTACCATTAACCCCTGCCCCCAGACAGTTTTTTAATTATTTATTAATTTTGGTTTTTGGAGCCTGTCCTGGTACTCTCTGTGTAGACCAAACTCACATAGATGTGCCTGCCTCTGCCTCTGCCTGTGCTGGGATTAAAGGAGAGAGCCACCACCACCACCACCCAGTTTTCATTGTGTTTCTTAATGGCTTATTGTAGCAACTAGTCCTGTATTGCCTTTGGCATTTCATCTGGGTTAAAGTGTGCAATAAGAATCTTGGTAGGTTTGTTTTTGTTTGTGAGTGTCCGGTGTTTGTTTTTAGACAGGATTTCTCTACACAGCTCTAGCTCTAGCTGTCCTGGCCTCAAAACTCACAGACTCTGCGTGCCTCCTCCAGTGCTGGATTTAAAATTTAGCGCATCACCAAACCTGGCTATTTATTTGTTTGTCTTTAATTATCCTCCCCTTTATTTTAAACCAGCTTACATGAGATAACCCAGGGAGTGTCCTGTTCCAAAGGGTTTGTACATAGATGGTGGAGGGATGGAGAGCATTGACTGTCAATAGTGGTGACAGATTGACCCCACAAACCCAGTGACTTTTGTATTGTAAGGACAGATTGTTGAAACCCTTAAAGTGGACTGGATGCTGCAATGGCTGCCCTCTCGGGTTTAGGTGAATCAATCTTGGGTGCCTCATCTGCTCAATCTGTGTTGTGTGTCACCTCTTGGTTGTGGCTCTCTGGTTATACTTTCTCTTGCACTTGTCAGTGGAGTCACATTCTGCACAGGTTGGTTTCTGAAGGTGGCAGTGGTAGACCGTGTGTGTCTTATTGTGATGCCCTCCAAAGGATGCCGTTCCTTTCCTCATCCTGCTTCTGGCAAGCAGGCCAAAGAGAGCAGAAGAGGAGTGGGTGATACATTTTTGTGGTAGCACATGGTGACTACATTCCGTCTTGATTTAAGGTCAGAGAATTCAAGCATGTTACTGCTCCTCAAGGCCAAATGACAGGATGTTTGGTCAAAGGTGTAGTTACTAGATGCTTTGAGAATTAAGGTGATTACACTTGTTTGCTCCTTGAACTGCATCAAAGAAGTGGAGGCACTTTTGCTGTGAGTATAAAGGGCTATGAGAAATAAATGTAGGACTGCTGCAATTCACTGAGAGCCCTCCCAACTCTCACCTTCTCTTCTTTTGTCTCTTTCTTAATCCTCACTCTCCTATTCAGGTCCTGTTGGACAGGTTGGCTGGTCTTGAATGGTGGGGCCTGAACTTGGGACCTGAAAAGGGAGGTCTGTGAAGGACACAGCAGGTGGAACGCTCATACATTATTAAGGTGGTAGTGTGGTGAGTAATTCTGGAGTAAAACTGTTAATATGGGGCAGGGCAATAGACAGCTGCTTATACATTTGCTTAAAGATAATTTAAAAGCCAGAGGAGCTAAAATAGGGCAGGAACAAGTACAGAAATTTTTAGAGTTTGTAGAGCAGGTGTGCCCTTGGTTTCCCAAGCACAGGACCTTAGATGCAGACACATGGGGGAGAATTGGAATGAAAATCCAACAGCATTATGATGAGCATGGGCCTGGAAAGGTCCCAGTAGATGCTCTTGGTCTGTGGGCGCTTATCCGGGACAGTTTGGGTTTACGCCCTGAACCTGAACGGCAGAAGGCATTTCCCCATGAAATGGATAAAAATGAAACGAAATCTCCAGAGGAGCTAGATGCAGGCACCTTTAAAAAATTGTCTGATTTTGATCAATTCCATCCTGGTGATGAAGCTGAGCTTGAGGAAGAAGCTAAGTATAGTAATGAGGAGCTTTCACCTCCCCCTACTCTGACCAGGAAAGTTGAGAGGCAGAAATGTGATAAGAGTAAGGAGGAGCTAAAGGGCTTGAGAGACTTAGTAGTTTCTCTTTCACAAAAATTGGAGACTCTGCAAGTCTCTTCTCGGAAGGGCACTCCTTTTCCTACTGTAGTGGCTGGATTAGATCTGCCTGGGGGGCCTCCAGGAGCTAGACAGACATTCACCATTAGTCATCTCTCTCCCCTGCAAGCTAGTATTAGAGAAGCAGCTAGCAGAGGGGAGGATGTGCAAGGATTCCGAATGTTCCCAATGAATGTGCAGCAAAGAGATGCCCAGGGCAATGTTGTGTGGGTGCATTGGCCAATCCCGTTTAAACAAGTGAAGGAATTAAAAATGGCGTGCTCTAGGTATGGGCCCATTGCACCCTTTACACAAGCTTTGCTAGAAAACATGGCTGTAGAAACCTTGCCCCCTGGGGATTGGAAACAGATGGCCAGAGCTTGCCTGTCAGGATGGGATTACCTCTTGTGGAAAAATGAATTTGTGGAACAGTGTCAAGCCACAGCTAAAATAAATCAGGCCCAACAAATTCCCGTTACTTTTGATATGCTTGCCGGAGAAGGCATTTATTGGGAGACAGATAAACAGTTAAATTTTGATGTGGCAGTGTATGCCCAGGTTAATGCAGCTGCCAAGAAGGCCTGGTATAAGCTTCCACCTTCTGGAAAGCACACTGAGGACTTGTCAAAAATAAGGCAAGGACCTGATGAGTTATTTCAGGACTTTGTCTCTAGGCTAATGGAGACAGCAAGCAGGTTAATTGGGGATACACAAGCTGAACTTTTGCTTGTTAAACACCTAGCCTATGAGAATGCTAATACTGTCTGTCAGGCTGCTTTGAGACCTGTTAGAAAGAAGGGCAGCATCTCTGATTATATTCGATGTTGCTCAGATATTGGTCCCTCGTATATTCTGGGGTTAACTATAGCTGCTGCATTACAGGGTAAAACAGTTAAGGAATTTCTCTTCCAACAAAGAAATCAAGGCCTGAGACAAAGGAGATGTGTCAGACCTCCTGGAAGCTGCTTTGGGTGTGGAAAGATGGGGCACCAGGTCAAGTGGTGTCCTGGCAAGGGAAGAGGCATAGTGGCAAAAAAGGAACCAGGATTGTGCCCCAGATGCAAGAGAGGGAAGCATTGGGCTAATGAATGTAAATCAAAGAAGGATGCCCAGGGGAATCCACTGCAGGGAAACAGGCAGAGGGGCCTGCCACAGGCCCCAAGACAGTATTATGGGATGCTTCCCTCCCCAAGGACACCTGCAGAGCAACCCCAGGCAGTGCAGGATTGGACCTATTGAACCTCAGTTCTTCCATCTGCATGGTTTTAGCTCCTGAAGTGGGGATGCAAGCTCTCCCTACTGGTGTTTATAGGCCTTTGCCCAAAGGCACTGTAGGGTTATTGCTGGGGAGTAGTACCACCGTGCAGGGGTCTTTGATACTCCCAAAGTGATTGACAGTGATTATAAAGGAGAAATCACAATTATGACTCACTTACCCAATGGAATTTCTGTGGTAAAGATAGGCCAGAGACTTGCACAATTAATTTTACTTCCCCAAGAAAAAACAAGAAATCAAAAGAGGTGAGAGAGGGTAGCTGGATTTGGTTCATCTGATTCCTATTGGCTACAAGCCATAGAGCCACCACACCCAAAATCACTATGTTTATGAATGGAAAGAGCTTTTCTGGCCTCCTGGACTCTTGTGTGTTATTACTGCCAGTCAATGGCCTTCAATGTGGCCAAAGATGGAGACTTACACAACTGCAAGGGATTGGTCAAACTCAAGAGTCCTAAGCAAAGTAGCAATGAACTTTCATGAAAAGATGAAAAAAGTCAGGAAGGAACTTTTTGGCCATACATTGTTGTCCATTTGCGTGTAAATTTTTTTCATGGAGATAACTAAATTCCAGTGTGTTTGGATAGCTCCATTACAGTTGTTACTAAACAAATGTTTCAACAAGGACTGTTATCTGATTGGGGGTTAGGAAGAAACAATGATGGCTGAGTATCACCCTTGCTTCCCCAGTGTCCTGGAACTAGCTCTGTAGGCCTTGAACTCACAAGATCTGCCTGCCTCTGACACGAGTGCTGGGATTAAAGGTGTGGCCACCAATGCCCGGCCTTGGGTTAGGGTATTTTTAAGAGGGGCCATTGAGCAGCCTGTACTCCATGCAGATCCTATAACTAATGATCCTGTCTGGATAGACCAATGGCCCCTAACAGAAAAAAAGATACAAGCTGCCCAGGAGTTAGTACAGGAACAGTTGGATGGTGGCCATGTTGTACCTTTTAATTATCCCTGGAATTCTCCTATTTTCCTGATTAAAAAGAAATATGGAAAAATGGAGATTTTTTTTTTTAAAGGTTTAAGAATCAAGAGGAAAGTAAATAAATAAAAAATTCAAGAAAAATTAATGGGACCATGCAGCTAATGATAGCTTTCCAGCCTGGATTGCCTTCTCCTACAGCCCTACCAAAGGATACTTATAATAAAATTATTTTAGATTTAAAAGACTGTTGTTTTTATACCATCCATTTAGCTCCCCAAGATTGTCAAAGATTTATTTGTATTTAGCTTTCCGTCAGTTAATTTCAAAGAGCCCATGAAGAGTAAGCTGTTGGAAGATTTTGCCTCAGAATGTGGTCAACAGTGCTACATTGTGCCAGAAAATTATAGCTCAAGCATTACAAGATTAATATTAGAGATCAATTTCACATGCTTACATTGTTCATTCTATGGATGATATTTTGCTTGTCCATGAAAATGAAGGAATTTTGCTTGCACATCTGAACAGCTTCTACAGAGCCTTGCCCATTCTGAGTTAGTAATAATTTTCCCAGAGATAGTACAATGACAGCTGCCTTTCCAGTGTTTAGAACATATATTGTACCCTAAAGAAATTAAGTCTCACAAATGGGAATTTAGGAAAGATAGCTTACAAACTTTCAATGACTTTTAGAAATTATTGGATATTCAGTGGCTGCAGCCATATTTGAAGTTGTCTACAGGAGATCTTGAGCCCCAAAGTGAGATTCTTAAGGGGAATAGTGATCCTAGCTCCCCTAGGCATCTTACAGATTCTGCTAAATAAGTGCTGGCTCAAGGAGAGCATGCCATTCAACATCAGCAGGTATGCTGTGTTGACTGTACAAAACTATGAGAAACCTGTGTGCTTCCTACACGATGTATTCCAACAGCTCTGTTATGGCAAAAAGGACCATTATTGTGATTGCATCTACCTGTTTCCCAGCCCAGGTGTTAAACCCTTATTATGAAGCAGTGGCTTGTTTAGTACAGAAAAGCCAGGTAGAATCTAAGCGATATTTTGGTAAAGAACCCAAGTTGGTTGGTTATTTCAAAATAATGATTCTTGGGCAATTGATTTTGCTCAGTTTTGTTGCCAAATTGACAATCATTTTCTAGCTGATCGATTACTGCAATTTGCCTAAGTGTATCCCTTTATGTTTCCTAAATTTGTGATGAAAGATGCTGTGCTGGATTTTACCAACAGCTCTTCCAATAGAAGAACTACTTAGTGTTATTTTGGTACAGATTGTGTAGTACAAACAGCTCCAGCTTCAGCTCAGATAGCAGAATTACAAGCTGTAGCTATGGTTTTCCAGATTTTTGTAAATAGTTCATTTAATGTGTATGCTCATAGTCATTATATTTTTAGAACCCTTCAGATTATAGAGACTGTTCCCTGTATTGGAACTACTAATGGTCAGTTAGGATGCTGTTTCAGCAAGCTCAAGATACCATTTATCCAAAAAAAAAAAAAAGTGGCCATGCTTTGTGGGTCATATTAGAGCTCATACCAATCTTCCTGGCCCTCTAGCGGATAGTACTGTATCAGCTGATGAATTAACACTGGTAGAATTGGCTCAACAGTCACCAGAATAGCAGACGTTTAGGAAAACAATTTGGCCTTACCAGGAAAATTGCTCATCATATTGTTGAGCAATGTGATGTTAGCCCACAGTATTTGCCTGTGACTCCCTTAGGGGTAAATCTTTGAAGCCTTCTTCCTAATCATTTATGGCAAAAGGATGTTACTCATGTTACAGAATTTGGCAAAGTAGACTATGTGCCTGTGACAGTCACTCTCTAGTCAGGGTTCTTGATGGCCACTCTGCAAATTGGGGAAGCCACCTAGCATGTCATAGCTCATGTCTTACAATGTTTTTCATATATGAGGGTTCCTAAAATTATAAAAATGGATCAGGATGTATTAGTAAAGCATTTCAGTAATTTTGTTCTTAATGGAAATTTGAGCATAAAACAGGCACTTCTTATAATACTCAAGTATGAGGTATTGTTGGATGAGCCCATGGTAGTCTCAAGATGCATATTAAAAAATAAAAAAGGAATCATATCCTCAGTCACCGCATAATGCATTAAATCATGCCCTCTTTTGAATGTGGATGCTCATGAGCATTCTGCTGGAGATAGATTTTGGCATGATGGCATTTGATAGACTTTTGCCCAAGTGAAATGGAAAGATCCTTGCACTAGATTATGGAAGGGTCCTGACCCTGTTTTGATATGGGGTCGAGGGCATGTTTGTGTTTTTTTTACAGGAAGAAAATGAAGTTCAACGTCTGCCTGAGTGCCTAGCATGATGTATGGAGCAGAGGGTGCCGGTCCTGATGATGTGGCTGCTGCTGCTCTCCCACAGGAGCTGGAGTGAGATTTGCTGAACCTGTGATCCTGATCTCCGATACTAAATCTTGCAGCCTGGGATGGGAAGGAGAGTATAGTGATGGTTTATGATTCCTGGCTTCTTCATAGACCTGCACAAATTTCCCAGACCTCTGTGAATTAATCATTGTGGATCCGGCTGAGGAACACCTATCTGTTTTTCCAAAAATGAATCTGTGACTGAGTGGCCATTTATCCACACTGCACCTTGGGATGTGGAGGCCAGTATAGTGCTCATCTGCTGTTGAAATAGAAGGCCTGGACAATAGGTGCCTCAGAAATTTCCCCTCTGGGAAGAGAGACTCAGAGCCATCGAACACGAATATGAAGTTGATGGGTGACTAAAGCTCCTCTTCAGAATATCACTGGAATTCAGAGTTGTGCTAGACGGGTCAGGAAACCAAATTGAAGGCACTGAAAAGGCTCCACAAACTGAGGAGGCAGAGCGGGATAAAGGTTTTTTTTGCTGTTGACATTCAGTACTTGGGGACTGGGACAGCTCAAACAGATCTTTAGTAGTTGGTAGCAGCAATACATTGTAATTTAGGAGAGGGAAAAGAAGATTCAGAGTCATGGACTTACACATACCCACCACAAAAACATTTTCTTGTCCTTTGATCGAAGTTATGAGAATTGTAATTTAACTAATTGTGTGTTCATTGTTAATAATCATACTGCAATTATGGTATTAACCTGTCAATGCTTATAACCTCTTTAGTTCACAGTGAAGGTGTTAACTGGATGGAAAAAGATTAGAGCTCATCTGAGAGGAATTTGTCATGCTGATGAGTCCTTAGATTTAGTGTAATTAAAAAGGCAAATTTGGATTTTAATGCAGCTAGAACTGCTGAAGACATCCTGGACCAATTTTTAAAGGTCATGCCATCTTGGTCATCCTTTACTCCTCTATTGGGAGGTATTGGGCCATAGGAGCATGTGTATTGCTGGGCATTACTTGTGTGCCTGTGATTTTCAAGTTTGCTTTTGAACTCTACATGGGAAGTTGGCTCAGAGGTGTGTGGCATCAAGCTATGCACTCTCCCTTCACCCTTTGTAAACAGAGGCTGGTAGTCAAAGACGGGTAAGATCTTTTTTGCCTCCAGTCAACCTAAGACAGGGCATCCATGATGGAATGTGTGTACCAATGACGGGTAAGTCTGGGAGGTTGAAAAAGACAACCTAAGACAGGCACAGTCGTCTGTCCTGTGGCAGAAGCACGGGCATTAATAAAAGGGAAATTTTTGTGGGACTCCACAGTGACTCCATCCCATCTTGACTTAAGGTCAGGAGTTCGAACTAATTCTTGCTCCTCAAGGCCAACAAATAGGATGCTTGACCAAAGGCGTGGCTAATTGATACTTACTCTTTTAAGACCAAATAATTGGATGTTTGACTTAGGGCATGGTGACTATATGTTTTGAGAATTTAGGAGGTAATTGCACTTGTTTGTTTCTTGTATATGATTACGGAGTCTTTTGTCCTCTGCTTTTGCTATGGGTATAAAGGGCTATGAGAAATTAATTTGGGGCTGCTACAGTATTCACTGAGAGCCCTTCAAACTCTATCTTCTGTTTTATGTCTTTCTTAATCCTCACTCACTTTTTGGGGCATATTTAATAGGTCAGCTGGCCCCAACAGTGCATGTGAGGCCAGAAAAGGCATTCTGATTTTCCCAGAGTGGAGTCTGGGCAGCCTGCTGGATGTGGGTGTGGAAATGGAACTCAGGTCCTTTGAGAGAGCAGCATGGTCTCCTCTAACTGCTGAGATGTGGCTCTAGCCCTGTGGCGTTCTAGTTTTGTATCTGTCAACACCTGGGGTCCAACACCTCCAACATGATTATAGAAGTCAACAAGTAGGAATAGGCTTTTGAATCAGGGAGAGTTAATTAAGTTCTTTTTCCTTGTGGGGGTAAGTGGGTGTTGTTTTTGAGACAGTGTCTAATACAGTCCAGGCTGGCCTTGAACTTGCTATGTAGCTGAGGATGACCTTAAACTCCTGATCCTCCAGCCTATCTACCTCCCAAGTGCCCCTTTATTGCAGACCTTGTCACACACAGCCCTTATTTTGTTGTTATTTCTTACTTATTCTTTTTTTTTCTATGGTGGCGATGGGGGGAGAGGGTGGTTTGCACACTGAGAAGCATTTGCTGTACCATTAACCCCTGCCCCCAGACAGTTTTTTAATTATTTATTAATTTTGGTTTTTGGAGCCTGTCCTGGTACTCTCTGTGTAGACCAAACTCACATAGATGTGCCTGCCTCTGCCTCTGCCTGTGCTGGGATTAAAGGAGAGAGCCACCACCACCACCACCCAGTTTTCATTGTGTTTCTTAATGGCTTATTGTAGCAACTAGTCCTGTATTGCCTTTGGCATTTCATCTGGGTTAAAGTGTGCAATAAGAATCTTGGTAGGTTTGTTTTTGTTTGTGAGTGTCCGGTGTTTGTTTTTAGACAGGATTTCTCTACACAGCTCTAGCTCTAGCTGTCCTGGCCTCAAAACTCACAGACTCTGCGTGCCTCCTCCAGTGCTGGATTTAAAATTTAGCGCATCACCAAACCTGGCTATTTATTTGTTTGTCTTTAATTATCCTCCCCTTTATTTTAAACCAGCTTACATGAGATAACCCAGGGAGTGTCCTGTTCCAAAGGGTTTGTACATAGATGGTGGAGGGATGGAGAGCATTGACTGTCAATAGTGGTGACAGATTGACCCCACAAACCCAGTGACTTTTGTATTGTAAGGACAGATTGTTGAAACCCTTAAAGTGGACTGGATGCTGCAATGGCTGCCCTCTCGGGTTTAGGTGAATCAATCTTGGGTGCCTCAAATGCTCAATCTGTTGTGTGTCACCTCTTGGTTGTGGCTCTCTGGTTATACTTTCTCTTGCACTTGTCAGTGGAGTCACATTCTGCACAGGTTGGTTTCTGAAGGTGGCAGTGGTAGACCGTGTGTGTCTTATTGTGATGCCCTCCAAAGGATGCCATTCCTTTCTTCATCCTGCTTCTGGCAAGCAGGCCAAAGAGAGCAGAAGAGGAGTGGATGATACGTTGTTAGAAAAATATATAAAAGTTGAGAAATTTTCATTTCAACTATTTCAAACCATAGTTTAGTTCTGCTGTGATTTCTCCCCATCTTCGTGTTGGGTGGTGGCCTTCAACCCTGGCCATGTTTGCTCAACTAGCCAGAGGTTGAGTTAGGAACACATTTAGTTTTCATGGAGTCTGAAGTTGATGTTCACAGACTCAAATATGAGTAACTGTCCTACAATATGACAAGCTGTTGTGGAGTTTCAGGAGTAGAGGTGGAGTCATCTTAAAGCATCCTGTAAGCCCCATACCAAGGGAGTGTAAATAAAGGGTGATTTTCTTTCTTGTTTTTAAGAGTTTGAGGAGCTAGAGAGGTGGCTCAGCAGTTAGGAATACTGACTGATCTTCCAGAGAACCCAGGATCAATTAGAAGCACCCACATGGCAGCTTACAACAGTAACTCCAGGACCTGGCAATCTCACACACAGACAAAAACATCAATTTAGATAAAATACATTATTAAATAAAACTTTGAAAGTACTTGCCTTAGAATTATATAAATAAAAATGGGAAAAGCCGTTTTTTTTTTTTTTTTCCTTAAATCTTTCCTGCACACTCTCAGTCTCAGCTCTCAGGAGGCAGAAGCAGACAGATCTCTTGAGTTTGAGGCCAGCTTGGTCTATAGAGTGAGTTCTAGGACAGCCAGGGCTACACAGAACCAAAAACAAAGGAGTTCTGCTATCAGATGTCACTTGATTTAGCCTAGCCTTGAACTTGCAGTATAGGTATAGTCGGCCTTGACCCTAACTGACCTGCCCCCCCAAGTACTGTGATTATAGGTGTGTGCTTCAGAGGTCCCAGCAACCATGTGGTGGCTCACTAGCATCTGTAATGAGATCTTGTACCCTCTTCTGGCCTGTAGGCATACATGCAGGCAGAACACTATACATAATAAATGTTTTTTTTTTTTTAAAGGAAGGGAACAGATTATAGAAGTGTTATGATTGTACAATGAGCTGGGTATGGTGTGCACCTGAAATCCCAGCACCCAGAGGCAGACTCAGGAGGCTGGGACTTTGGAGGCCAGCAGAACTATAAAAGACTGTCTCAGGAACAATGATGATAATACTTGTTTTACTAGAGTTTGCAGTAGGTGTCTGACAGCCTGTTACCTTTGTTTTTTAGACAGTGGTTTGCCTGTAACCCCGGTTGGCATCCAACTCAGGATTCTCCTGAGTGCCTGGATTAAAAGCATATACTATCATATATATATATATATATATATAATTTTATTTTACTCTTGGGTAGTCAAGTTTGTACTAGATACCCTATCTTTAAATTTTGGGACTGAGGTTGCCTCGTACACATAAGACAATGCCCAGTCACCATCACCACACACACACCAAATAACAATAAAACCCAGGAACCCAGTCATGGTTGCTCAAGCCTTGGGAAGCAGGAGGGTCAGAAATTTAAGGTCATCCTCACCTACACAGCAAGGTTGAGCAAGGGCAGTTTATGTCCTGTTCCTATATTTACTTTTAAGATTGTTCTGTTACCATTATTTGCTTTATTTATTTTTTCAGCCTAGATCTCACTGGTGAGCCTGGCTGGCCTTGAACTTGAGGCCATCCTCTTGCCTCTCCCTCCAGGTCTTGGGATTACAGATGTGAGCTGCCATAGCTATTCCCATGTAACCTATGGTAGCCAAAACTCACTCTGCAGTTGAGGATGAGCTAGAATTATACATGTTTGCTGCCGTGCCTTGCTTTAGTTATGAGGCTCCAGAGATTGAATGCAGGGCTTCTTGCGTTCTTGGCCAACAGCTGAGCTCCAACTCCAGCTTTCTTGAATTTTGAGACTGTGTGTTACTAAATTGCTCAAGCTGGCCTGAAACTCACTCTGTGGTCCAGGTAGTCTTCTTGCTGATCTTTCTGATTGTTCTGTTATTAAAGTGTCTGTGTTGTGAGACAAGGTCTCACTATGTAGCCTTTCTGGCCTGCAGCCTAATTCTGCTTCCTAAGTACTGGTGTTAAATGCACATGCCGCCACACCTGGCAGGTGCCTTTCATTTCTAACCCTTTCTTGATGCATTGACTTTTTCATCACGAGTGTCTCTAAATAGTGGGTGAAAACACCTTTCATCAGGCCTGACAGCTTGATCCCAGGACCCACACGGTGGAAGGAAAGAACCAACTACCCTCCTGCCTATATTCCTCCCTCCAAGATTTATTATCTGTAGTGTTCTGCCTGCATGGATACCTGCAGTCCAGAAGAGATCTCATTACAGATGGTTGTGAGCCACTGTGCGGTTGCCTGGCCATCTCTCGAGCCCCAAGAACCAACTTTCTTAAATTGTTATCTGAACTTCACAGGTGCCTCATGACCCCAACACACATGCACACGCAAAATACAAATAAATGGAATAATCGGACACTGCTCCTGTTCACTCAACCAGCGCAGCCTCTGAGGTCTGTCCTCAGGTAAACCCCAACCCCTTCACTCCTAGCTCTCATAGAACAACCCCTTTCCTAACAGGTACCCTCCTGTCCTGGATCTTAAAATTCAGTTCTTACTGTGGGCTAAGCCTCTCCTGTTCAGGAGACTCATTCCCTTGTCACCTTGGGCTTTGGGGATGCTTGCTCTCAATGGCCCCTCGGGTCCTATCCTTGCCACACTTTGCTCACACTGATCTTAGGAGGGTGAGGGAAATTTGTGTTCTGCAGAAACTAGGAGGCTTCTCAACTCTACCTTCTCTGCCCTGGTGCCCCTCCTATCAGGGGGTTGTCTTGGTCTGAAGGTCCTTGGCCTGCTATCACCCTCACTTGGCTCTGGTCCTCCTCCCTTGTCCAGCCTCCTGCTTCCCCTGATCATGCCTCCCTGAAGCAAACAAAAGTTACATTCTGCTCCCCACAGAGCCATTTACTGTTTTTGTTATCACTGTTCCTTTGAGTCCTTGAGGTTCAGGCTCTAAGGTCCTTGTTGGCCAAGCCCTGAGTAATTTAAGGAGGGCTCAGTAACCTAAGCCATGGGATGGTGGCAGCAGGTCAAGAAAGATCCTCGGGCTAGCCATGTGTGTTTCGATTTTCATGTGTGTGTTTTTATTAGTTTTCAGAAAGCCAGTTTGGAACTTGTGTGCTCAAGCTGTCTTCCTCCACAGCCCCCAGGCAGGGGTTTCTTTGTTTGCTGTGGTTGGGTGAAGTAATGGCATTTCTCAACCATCTGGATTATTTGTGGGAGCAGAATATTTGAAATCAGGGTATCCAGAGGAAATTAAAAGCCCATGAATGTTGATCGAGCCTTCCAGCAGGTTCAGACTTTAGCTAGTTAGTAGTAGCCAGTTCCCCAAGTCCTTACCCCAGGCTGTACCTAGATTCACCCTTCGCTTCCCACCTGGCCCAGTTCCCATCCAGGAAGCGGGAGTAACAATGCTGTTTCCTCCCTGGGCTGTCCTGATAGATCGTTTGTCCCCTGTGTGAGGGAGGCCCATAGTGGCCCATAGTTCCATCCCCAGAGTTGGGGGTGGGCTAAGGAGGAA